TATCAATTGCAATAGTTAAAAAAAACCGTTTGTGATAAAAAAAAACCATTGTTACGGAATGATTTGTTGAGAAATACAGATTATTAAATTACAATCTGAGAATAGAATACAAAGATGCCCAGCATGAGCTTGTGGTGGTACGAATGAGATCTACATTTTTTTAGCTCTCATAGGGACAGGCCAGACAGAAGGCGCTGGAGCTATACGGGTTTAATGTTGTTTTGCATAAACAACGAAGTGATACCAACTTAACCATCTATATATATAAAAGAAAGTCGTGTTAGTTACACTATCTATAACTCAAGAACGGCTGAACTGATTTGGCTGAAAATTGGTGGGGAGGTAGCTTAGAACCAGGAGATGGACATGGGATACTTTTTATCACGTTCCCGTGGGACGTGACATACAACGTGGTATAAACAAAACGCAACTCATATGGAATAACAAAAAGCAACTGACAGCTAAACGTAATGTAGTCTATGGATAATTATAGTATAATTTTGAAGTTGACCGGTTCATGTGTTTGTTTCGAGTTTCTATTAGCTTATTGTGCCGAGATAGGTAATCATTAAGAAAGCCATGTCGGGACCAACACGATCAAATCATTCCCGACGAAGCCGTAATGCAACTAGGATTCGAAAAATTCCGAGTGAAAGGACTGAAGAAGAACAAGAAAATATAATAATAATAATAATAACAACTAAAAATACATGGCCAATAAAATATCATTAAAATACTTGCTTTTTTAATTTACATTAATTATCCAAATAAAAAATTGACCTTGATAAAATCAGTCTGCTCATTTATTGCCTCTAAGGCGGAACAAAGTTCGCCGGGTCACCTAGTATACATATAAAGAGCAACCAAGATAATTAGTGCCCCATCAAATTTCGGCAATATCGACAATGAACAAAATAATAGGTAAGCCGATTCGATCATTAACCGAACGTAGAGAGATAAAGATCGAAATTATTCACGAACAATACAAGAGAATCGAAACGTAATAGTTTGTACACACAAACAATAAACGCAGTTTCTGTGAAAGTCGCTTTGCAACGGATTACGTAGTTCGTCCCATTATGAACTTTCCGTTTCTTCCAGAAACATCTATTACTGTCTCCATACCAAGTATAAATTTTGTTTTTATTTATAAGGTATACCTAACGAAATTGAAAATTAAAAGCAAAAATGAAACAGCATACCTATCCAGTTGTTCCATATGTGATTCTCGTCCTAATCTTGAAGTCCTTTCATTAGTAATCAATGTGTAATTAGTAATTAATGTACCTACTTCACATTCACAATTTTTTCACATTCAAAAAACTTTTTTTTTTTTTTTGCTTAGATGGTTGGACGAGCCCACAGCCTACCTGGTGTTAAGTGGTTACTGGAGCCCATAGACACCTACAACGTAAATGTGGCACCCACCTTGAGATATAAGTTCTAAGGTCTCAGTATAGTTACAACGGCTACCCCACCCTTCAAACCGAAACGCATTACTGCTTCACGGCAGAAATAGGCGGGGCGGTGGTACCTACCCGTGCGGACAAGAGGTCCTACCACCAGTAAACAAAAAACATTCCGAAAAACACGCTCACCATACGGAGGCACGCCTGTCTCGAGCCCGCAATCCTTGCGAAGCATGGTCGTCTCACGTATCCAATTATCTGTCGCTGCTTCCCAAGACTTTCCACTCAATCCAATGATCGTTTCCTATCGACATCTAAACGCGTTCGGTATCGATAAACAGACTTACGTTGTCAATTGTAGAAAGGTGACAGATTTCACGTTCAACGAAACACGTGTTACTTTAAGCTTAATAAACAAAACTAGAGGTCCCGCAGTAGTCGAAATTCGACTATAATTAATTGGAATTGTAAGTTTGTACACTATTATGATTGTATTTTACACTTCTATAATCACAAATTTCGCCAAGGCTACACTATAAAAAATATTAACAAAGACAAACAATATTTAATCTATTCTCAATTTGACAACAGACGTCAAGAACAACAGTTTGACAATAAATAGTATGCATGCGTGTGTGCGTCAAATACATGGTATGTAGTGTGTGTAATGTTTTCTTTATTAATTTAATGTATCTTTTATGCATTATTTTTAAAAAATATTAGCATTGTGCACTTGTTCTCTATATTCTCTATAAGTGTGGAAAATTTCATACTCCTCCGCCCGCGCAATTTTCTTAAAAAGGGATACAAAGTTTTTGCTTCACGTATTAATATATAGATGATTTCTAGTCTTGTTGATCTATTAATGACATTTCATCAAAGCAGTTATACTGGTAACGGCAGTCCCGTCCTTCAAAACGGAAGAAAATAGAACCAGTCTTCTTCTTTTTGCCCTCTTCCTTATCCCACTAATATGGGGTCGGTGCGGCATTTCACGTTTTTTCATTTAGGCTTATTATATATCCTCCCTACATTGATATCCTTCTTTCAGATCATAAGCATATCCCCATTGACACAGTCTATCCAAGTCTATTTAAGAAGCTTCTCCTACTCCCTCCCGTGAAAACCCGTTCGAGCGCAAAATACGTCATATCACCGTTAAATACCGGTTGCTGATGGTAACAAGCACATGCAATGCTCAACGATCTTGCCGATTCTTCGGGGAATACCTTAGTCTCCTATTAAGACATCTGCAGTTGACTTGGGGTGGTGCTTTAGGCCACTGCACGGTCAAAAGAAACACAGAACCAATAGTCAGACTCTGGAGACGAGTTTGTATCTTCCGGTCAAGATATTTGCCGTTAACAGGATGTAGGGCGTATACAAATCAGCGCGCCAAGCAAAGGCTTAAAGAGAGAGAGAGAGAGAGAAAGGTAGTCTTAAATCTATACAATTGAAACATAAAGCCCATGTATAAATATTGGTCGTGCAAATTACGTTGTGATGGATGGACTTCGGTAACCACTTACGACCGGGAAGACCGTAAGATCGTTCATTAATTTAAGCAATAAATAATTAGGTTCCTGGTGTAAGTGCTTGTATCATATGTGTTTCAGGGGCCTTTAATAAAACGCAGAAGGTCCTACCTCATTTTGCTGAATTCTGCCTTCAATATTTTCTTTTGGTCACTTGGCGAATATTCTAATTTTATACTAAACTTTTACAAAAATATCTCGAGCAATTATGCCAATTGACGCGAGTTAAAAAAATAAACCCTGCCTCAAGTAACGCTATTAAGCAATATCATCATTATCCTGCCCTTCTCCCAGTCACCTGGGGTCAGCGCAACATGTTTTCTCCTTCCATACTCCTCTATCATATACCATTTCTTCGCTCACTCCCCTCTTACCCATATCGTCTTTCACGCAATCCATCAATTTCTTCTTAGGTCTATCTCTTCCTCTATATCCTTCCACATTCATAGTTAACATTCTCTTACCAACCTCATTTTCATTTCGTCTCATCACATGTCCATACTATCCCAAATGCGCACTTCTCAGCTTCTTTGTCAGGGGTGCCACTTTCAGACTACCTCTAACATATTCATTCCGTATTCTATCCATTCTCGTTACTCCACACATCCATCGCAGCTATCGCATTTCAGCTGCATGCATAACAGCATTTATTTTATTCAATTAGATTAATAGCAGATTAGAATATTATCATCTAAAAAACTTTGACCTGGGTACCCTACTTACGAAATTCTGAATAATTATTGTATATGGCGTATAAAGAAAACGGTTAATTATGTAATAGCGTTTATTCTTTTAAATACTTCCAGTTTTCCTTTCGTAATTCAAAAGGTACACATATGCGGATACTCATACGTTTCAACATAGCAGCGAGTCGCGCCTAGTCGACGCGATCATTTCACAACACCCGTTACGTGATACGTAAAAGTAATTAGTAATTTTGTCATTGGAACCGTGTCATGGGTCACGTCTTAGAACATCTTTGAGCTTAGAATAAAAAAAATTATATGCGTAAAATTCCGGAAATTTCATAAGTGTCTGATTAAATCGATTTGCCTAGTTTAGTGTAGGAATAACATTTGGCATTGCATTAAATAATATTTATGCATTTATAGAATTACCGGTGGTGAAGTGTATTACCCTGGCCTTTTTCTACTACGATTCATATGAATCAGAATGATGGGATGGGTGAACGAAAACCCTTATCGTGGTTGCCGCTAATTACTTATCCGATCGCTACGGCGCAACGCAAAGCTGCCTTTGCCTGAAACATGTCTTGGGGGATTCCCCGGATTCACTCTCGGTACTTTTACGACCTGCAAGCACCAGTCATCGTCCTCGTCTAACTCGTCGACTACGACGGGGCTCAAGCCTGACGATGTTGCTAACACGAACCTTCTACCGCCGGATTGGAAACGCGACCCACTGAGAAGATCCGGCGAGAAACTCAGTGGCTTGTGTCTATGGGTTAGTTTGCTTGTCGAACTCTTCGTCGTAATCGACGAGCATGACGAGGACCGTGACCGGTGCTACCTAAAAGCACCGTCAGTGGATTGGATCGGGAGGATCCGAGATGACGTGTTTTGGGCGACGTAGATTGTTTACCATTTGGTCCGCAGGATCGGCAATATAGTTACCGGCGGCCACGATGAGAGAGTTTTCGTGTCGTGCCACTTTATCGAAATGGAATATATGTATGTCCAATATGTAGTATCAGTTTAAATCATAACGATTGCTCACGTCTAACTCACGTTTCAAAGCCATTAAATTAATTCAAAACCGCAATGAACTTACAATTTTATTGACGATTTATTCAACTCGAACGCTTTACATTCACTGAAAGATCGCATACAAATAATGACGCAACCCAAAACGCAATATCGATATATCGGTTCGCATACGCCTCCGAGAGCCTCATCGAATCAGTGCTAAATGACCCACAACTCTACATAAGGCACCTCGTAACATACATTACGAATTTTGCTGTAATCCCGAGAGGTAGCGGGGCGTTGATCGAGACAGTGCAAGCACAACAGTTTACCACGCAGAGCCGCGTCGTGCAGGTGTCGCGAGCCTTCGGGGCCCCTTCGAAGTTTAAAACGTCAGTTGCAAAATATTAAAAAACGCGTCCTCGAACAATTACGTCATCACTTAATCTATTATCGATAACACGGAATCGATTTTAAAATAAAAATGTTCTAATAAATTTTAATAAACTTAACAATTACATATTAAATATCTTAGTTCCAAAATGAATTGTTCAGTGTTATTATTAACAATGTTCTCGTGTTTGTTATTGCATCGATTATATCGTTCCCTGTAACGCTGTGCAAGACTTACCTAACTGAATGCAATCGACGACGATCTATCCAGTTCTCTTAACTTATATAACTTACACACCTATTTTCATTGCAATTTTATAGTTTTCTAGTTTTGCTTTAAATCGTGTGTACTTCAATAATATATAACAAGTATTGTAATAAAAACTACCAAAATACTACTTTATAAAATATTAACAAAACAAACAGTCATCTAAAGGCATTTAATAAAAAGTGCTAAATTAGTAGTTAGTGAAAAAGGAAAATACTACCGTGACCTGTCACAACATAATCAAGTGTGACCTATTACGTCTTGGCACGCCGTAGAATCGATGCACCGCCCGCAAAGTAATTAGTTGAAGTTGCGCAACACTATCGTTCCTGTTTTAGTCGATTGTGATCGAGTGAAATGGACATTTCGTATCGATTTATCCCAATTTCTATTTGAATGCAAATTCGGTTGCGCAATGACGACTAATGTACATGATTTTGGATAAAGTACTAAATCGCGTTTACCGTTAGTCCGCATTACGTCATTAAAAAGTAAACACACTAATTTCGTAAAATTACAAAATCTGTCATGATATAAAACGTTGTTTGTATCTGTAGAAAAAATCCTGTAAGCTTTAAGCACTATTCATGTAATCTGATTAAATTTTAATAAGGGATAGCTAATAGGAAGAATAGTGAACAATAAGACTAGACCTGGTAGCTTAAAAACCTAATATGTGAATAAATAAAATATTAGTTTGGGTCCTTGTTGATTTATCGGTCACATTCGTAATATTTTTGTCATAAATCGAATATTCATTGAATAGTGTCCTAAAAACATTTGGTAATAATTTCACGTTAAATTATTTTTCCCTATTACAATCCGATTATTTTTCAGGTGAATCCAAAAACCAGCATAGTGATAGCACAGTAAACAAATAAACTTTTTTGTACTATTACGAATAATTTTCAAGTGTAACTAGTGAGGTTTAATCTACAAACGCATTTGTGAAGTCAGCTGGGAATGTTAATTAGTTTTTAAAGAATTTCTGTGTGTTTGTACAGTTTGTTACTATTACATATTTGGAAGTCGGAAGGACATTATCAGAGATAAACGTAAGTATTAATTTATTTATTACAATTCAAGTTTTTATTTAGCTGCGTTGGGTCGGATTAGAAATTAACCAGAAACTTTGCTTCAGTGTTTTCAAAGTACTAAGCCTCAAAATATTTGCAATTTTTATCAAGCATATTTTAATCCCTATCAATCCGATGGTAGCCTAACGGGCTATTCCAGTTTCTCGCGGAAGGGTAGGTGAGCTCACGGGCTCAACCTGAGAGTATTTGCTAACACTAGCCCTAGTAAGAGCAGTGTTTCGCAGAATCTATCGCCAGGTAGGAATCGCGACCCAATAAGAAGATCTGGCGAGAAACTCAGTGGGTTATGTCAAAGTAGGGCATATCTTATAATTGGATCATTTACATTTTGGCACAAGTTTTAAATAGCTCTCCACGCCATTTAACAAACAGTTAAATGATAGAAGTTTAGCTTTCCGATTCACGACAAAAGTCTTCCTTATCTACCGTACTGTGAAGAATAAGTAGTAGAATAGAATAATAGTTCTATTTAAACGTTAATGTTATTGATGACAGGTTTATCTTCGACAAACGTTGACTTCAAAATAATCTATGATGCATTAGCCGCTTAAATATATGTTATGTGTTAAAATAGGTTATGACATGTTCTTACTTAAAACCAAGGTTTGAAAATCGGTCCAATTGCCTATTTAAAAAAAATTGCTCTTAAAAATATTGCGTTCTACTGACAAAGTAATGAAAGTTTCAAATGAAATTGTCATTAGATACGGCTGTTTACGATAATTAGATGATTTTTAAATTACCTGTATCTTCTTCTATTTTATGCTATTATAATTATATGCTATAAAATGACAATTTTCTTCAACAAGATTTCGCATATGAACCTGTAGGTTGTACTTTCCTAGTATTGCATAAGTTAATTCATCAAATATTTATTAAAATTATGCAATTTAATGTTTTTAGGTACTTTTCGAATATATTTAGCGATTCATTGTTTTCTTACGTTACATGACCAATCTTGGCTTTTAAACGACAATCAGCGGTGTTGATTGTTTGCAGGCTCGAATTTACTTTTATAAGTACCTATAGGAACTTTCAAATTGATAATAGTAATTGAGAGGTTATACCATAACAATGTTTTGAATCAACACTCACGTATTCACTTACAAAAAAGGAATTTTCAAATCGAATGTTAAATAGTACTTTCTTTTCCCCCTATCTAATCGCTTCGAAGGGCTATTCCAGCTTCGAAGGTTTGGCATGCAAGCTCATGGAGCTCAGCCTGAGAGAGTTTGCTAACCCTAGCCATAACAAGCAGCCCACTGAGTTTCTCGCCGGATCTTCTGTGGGTCGCGTTTCCGATCCGGCGGTAGATTCTGCGAAGCACGGCTCTTGCTGGGGTTCGTATTAGCAACATGGTCAGGTTTGAGCCCCGTGAGCTCACCTACTAGTTAAGGTTACATTGATATGGTCTCTCTAGACCATCGGCTTAGGTAGGAAAAAAATAAAAATAACAAGCAGTGTTTTGCAGAATCTCTACCACCGGATCGAAATCGCAACTAATCTGTGTACCACGTAATACCATAGGGCCAAAATCAAATGATTTAATTTTCCATTTATGAATTGAAGGTATAATTATTGACAGCGTGACATGTTGGGACTTCTTGTAAATGATATTTATTTACACAAACACACCATCAATTGGACTTGGACTTTCTATGGATTCTTGGATATTTTGATCTACTCTAGGCGAAGAACGACTATGGCAATTTGATGTTAGAATCTTCACAGATGGTCTGTGGTGTAGTTTTCCTAGCGTCTTATCTCAGAGTGATAATAGACACCAGGAGTCGTAATCGTATGCCGTGACAACAAAACAATGTGAAAATTTCACCTACTTCAACACAATAGCACATACCACTAACAGTTCGTATCGAAACACAAACAATAAACACAAAAGAAGACAAACACGCTATTAGAAAATAAAGTCCAATTAATCTCATGTAATAGTTATTGTGTGTCAGAACATGTGTGCCAAGGCCGCAACACCCGGTAACAAGAGCGCCGAATGAATTCAAAACACAACATTATGTAAGCTTACACAATGGTATATCGGTATCATGGTAATGTTGAACAAAAAAAATTAAAAACAATATATAATTTTGAAATTAGAGTAGGTGCTACTGTTTTCAGTGAGTCCCTACGTCATTTCGGATCCTCCCGATCCACTAACGGTGCTTTTAGCTACCTCAAAGCTCCGGTTATCGTTCTCGTCGAACCCGTCGCTTGCGACAAAGGGCTTGGGGAGTAAATTAACCCACAGGCACAGCCCACTGAGTTTCTCGCCGGATCTTCTCAGTGAGTCGCGTTTCCGATCCGGTGGTAGATTCTGCGAAGCACTGCTCTTGCTTAGTGTTAGTTAGTTAGTGTTAGCAACGTCGTCAGGTTAGAGCCCCGTGAGTTCACCTACTCGCTCGGATACGCTGGCATAGCCTCTCAAGGCTACAAGTTTAGGCAGGAAAAAAAAAAAAAACCATACCAACCAAACCATGTACCATCTGAAGTAGACTTGGTATGTGTAAAAGAAACGAGCATTACTAAAAGCATTTCAAATCTGCAATGAGAATTTTCTTCGGTTTTCGCGAGGCGTAGATAGATTAGCGGTGTTATTCGTCGACATTTGAATATTGTGCTAACTAGCATTAAATTTTTCTTTAAAATTATTTCTTGACATTTCCACACAAAAATAAATGATAGTATCTTAAAGTCAGTTTGTTAAACTTGAGTTTTAATCTTAACAATAAGAGAATTGTGTAAAATAAGCCCCAAATATATGTATAAGGAAAAGGTACCAATGAAATGCGAAGACCGTTTTCCCCGAAATCCATTCCACTTTGTCACTCTTCAAAATTAGAACTGTCACTTCCTTCAAGAAATTAAACATTCCCATATTTTTTGTACTTTACGTTAAAAAAACTAATGCCGCCGGAGCGGGACCTGGCACGTACCTACAACAAATAACTCGGATTTTTTTATGCCTGATAAACTTTTTACACCAAGAAACTAGAGATGGTGTTAATAATTATCTTGATCGATATTTCCAGCGATGTCTAAAAGTTTGTTTTTAGGTAGGCAGTGGCTAGGCTCTGCCCCTGGCATTGCTGAAGTCCATGGACGTCGGTAACCACTCACCATCAGATGGTCCGTACGCTTGTCTGCCTACTAAGACAATAAAAAAAAAACAAAAAAAACTACATTCGATACTTTTCCTTTAAGAATATATTATATAGAAGTATATTGAGCTGTTTAATTGACAATCACCTATCATCTATATATATAAAAATGGATTGCTGTTCGTTAGTCTCGCTAAAACTCGAGAACGGCTGGACCGATTTGGTTAAGTTTGGTCTTGAATTATTTGTGGAAGTTCAGAGAAGGTTTAAAATATGAAAATGCTCGGTATTAAATAAAAACAACAATTTTGTTTTTCCTTTGATGTGTCCCCCGTCGGACGGATTCCTTTTGGTTATTTTATACAAAAGTTTAGGTCTTTTATTTATCGATTGAGGCACTACGAAGTCTGCCGGGTCAGCTAGTTAATAATAAATTAATAATATTAATACTCGTAATTCCTTTGACGGTGGCTGGTAAAGTGGCATCTGACCAAATAGCGCCGCATTCGTTCCGTTTATGCCCACGTGCAAATTTAAAACCGACGCGACGTGAAATGTCAAAACGTTTCACGTCGTTAAAAAAGACACGTTAAGTAATACTCTGCTTTAAAGGTTACATACAAAAAATGCTAGTAATGTCCGCATTGCATCGGTACAGGCCCAAGTTATGCAATTATAACTGTTGATTCATGGTAAAATATACAAAATCACTATACGGAAACAAAAATGAAAGAGTAAATATACTCATTTCGAATAAATCGGTTAAGTAAAATTTACGTATCTAGTTTTTAATGCTTTAATATGGCGGTAATTTTACTATGTTTATTGTCAGTTGAATATTACTTTATTCATTTATTAGGTTAATCTCTAAACTGGATAATATAGATGCCAAAACTTTTTTATTGCTTACTAGCTGACCCGGCAAACTTCGTAGTGTCTCAATCGATAAATAAAAGACCTAAACTTTTGTATAAAATAAACTTAAAACAAACCAAAGGAATCCGTCCGACGGGGGACACATCAAAAGGGAAAACAATATTGTTATTTTTATTTAATTCAGAGCATTTTCATATTTATCTACCTTTAATAAACCTTCTCTGGACTTCTACAAATAATTCAAGACCAAAATTAGCCAAATCGGTCCAGCCGTTCTCGAGTTTTAGCGAGAATAACGAACAGCAATTCATTTTTATTGATATAGATAGATATTCTTCTGTGGTCAAATTGAGAATAGATTAAATATTGTTTGTAGTGGATTTTTATAGTAATTTGGCTAGCTATGGGGGAATCTCTTCTGTAAGCTGAACGGTTGCGGCCGCGAGTACCTTTACTTAATTAGTTTAATAAAAATCATTATTTATTTATTTATTTTATTGCTTGGATGGGTGGACGAGCTCACAGCCCACCTGGTGTTAAGTGGTTACTGGAGCCCATAGACATCTACAACGTAAATGCGCCACCCACCTTGAGATATAAGTTGTAAGGTCTCAAGTATAGTTATGTTTTTATTTATATATCATAGTTACTTAAAGCAGAGCTTAAGCCGCTTTGAGGCTACAAAAATGAAAATTGAACTGTTGATGCGTTTTATGTTCTTAGCATCCATTAAGGAAGGATTTTTGGACATTTCACTTCTAAGGGGGCGAACGGTTTTCTGGAAGTTTGTCTTATTTAAAATCAAAAGCCTATTTCATGTCCTATAATTATTATAGAAATTAATGTTTTATTTATTTATTTACAGCATAGAACATGTGAACGAGCTCACAGCTCACCTGGCCCACCTGGTGTTAAGTGGTTATTGCATGAGTGCCGCCAACCTTAAGACCTAACATTAGAGCCTTAATT